GAATGGGAGGCAGAGCCTTCAGTTTTTAGGCCCCTCTTCTGTGGAACCTGTCATGGGTCTGTGACCCAGGGATCATGTGTTATTTTTGAGTTTATTGAATATTATGAGTTTAATTCGTCTTTCTTAATCATTTACGGTTGTGGTGCGATCTGCTCTTGGTTCCTCGTTTCCCTGTGTGTTGTTATGTCATTTTTGCTGCCCCACCAGGCCTGCAGAGTCCCGGATTTGGAGCCAGCCACACCTGTGAAAATCACTCACCTGTTGCTGATCTGCCTAATCAAGGAGCTCTACTTGGCGCGGGATTGTTAATCTAGAAATACAGTTAGTGCTCAGCTCATATAGTTGTGTTTTCAATTACTCTCTTGTTGGAATGGTTAATGTGTTTTGTCGGTCGGTGGATGGGACGGCACTCATCGTGGCATCTCTTGTTTCCAGGGTGATTACGGAAACGTGTGGAGGGAGCAGCACACTGTTGAACACAGCACCGAGGAGGACGAAACACTACCACGCATCACGGAGAGGAATCACAGCACGGGGAATTGGGAGAGCACACACTGTGGATTGCTGGCACTGTTTTCTCTGTAAATAAACACACTTTCTCCTTTCTAAAAGTCCAGCGTTTGGCTTCTCTTTCAGCCAACCTTGACAGAACCAGCTTCCAGTTTGGATTCGGGAGACAGACGCTATCTCTAATTTTAAGATTAGGCTTAAAACTTTTCTTTTTGCTGAAGCATATAGTTAGGGCTGGACCAGGTGACCCTGAATCCTCCCTTAGTTATGCTGCAATAGGCGTAGGCTGCTGCGGGACTCCCATGATGCATTGAGTTTTTCCCTTTCAGTCACCTTTCTCTCTCAACATGTGTTAATAGACCTCTCTGCATTGAATCATACTTATTATTAATCTCTGTCTCTCTTCCACAGCATGTCTTTTATCCTGTTTTCCATCTCTCACCCCAACCAGTGAGAAATGGCCCCGCCCTTCACTGAGCCTGGTTCTGACGGAGGTTTCTTCCTGTTAAAAGGGAGTTTTTCCTTCCCACTGTCACCAAAGTGCTTGTTCATAGGGGGTCATATGATTGTTGGGTTTTCTCTGTATCTATTATTATAGGGTCTACTGTACAATATAAAACACCTTGATGCGACTGTTGTTGTGATTTGACACTATATAAATAAAACTGAATTGAATTGAATTGAATTGAATTGAATTGAATTGAATTGGAGGTATCTCCTATCACTGATAGTATACAAATCCAAAAATGGAAAAAGTATTAGTGTTTTAAACACACTAATTTCTTTTTTTTTCAGCTCACATAAATTGGTTGTGAGTACATTTGCTCAGGTTTTCAGTATTTGAAACTTTGACCTTTTTAATATGAACACCTATCACAGGAAACATAAGTATTGGCTCCTTTTACATATATAACTATAGTTGATAAATTAAACTCAGCGTTTCAACTGTGAGTTAGTTTTGAGGTGAGGGCTTCGGTTTAAAATCTTCTTGGCATAATGTCATGTAGTTTTCCTGCCACCAAAGCATTTTTATGGGAAATGACTCAGAGTACAGTTGAGCTAAATTATGAGAATAATACCAACAATCCCGTTTCCTCTGCTCAGATTACCATCTAAATGTTAAGACTGTCTCCAGGGCATGCAACACTATTGTCTGTGTCTCAGGAGAAGGTTCTGCATGGACAGTCAGTACTGAGGCTGACTCCAGTTACATCAATATGGGCACACCTAGTGTAAATCATATTAATCTTCTTTAAGGGGGAGTGTTATCATAACATCTTAACATATATCTTCTTTATTTAGCTGCAAAAAGAAAAAGGAAAAAAAATAAGTGACAGCCTTCTAAGAAATAGTGCAACATATAAGCCTCTGTAAAAGCCAGAGGTGGAAAAAATAAAAATGCATACAGAAAGTAAAGATATTTAAGCTGAAGTGTAGGAAGGAAAAGCAAAATTACCTAAAGATAAATACTCAAGTAAAGCACATAGTTAAGTGCAGTAATGTAGAATTTGTACTTCGCACCTCTATAAAAACCTCTATTTTATTTAAAAAACTTAAAATTTTTTAAATAAAGTTTAAAAAATAAATTTTTTAAACTTTATTTGCTCCCAGATTGTAAAAATGATGCAAATATATATTTATGAATTTAATTCATGCTAAAAGCCGGTTTTGTAAAAGGTTATAGAGCGACCCTTCTCACCCCTCCTGGTATTTAACAACTACCTGTAGCTTTAGCTGGTTTGTATTACTAATGTGCCGATTACAGGGGATTACTGGAGTCCACAGGGGGAAAACAACATTTTCTGAGCAGCATTTCTTTATTGTGTAGAAGAAAAAAGTTTTGAAATTGCACTTTTGTTTTATATTAAAGGGGATTAAATGCATTTTGCTGGTTCGGCCCACTTAAGATTAAAGTGGGCTGGATGTGGACCTCGATGCAAAATGAGTTTGACAGCAGGTCACAGTTAACATACACTTGTATTTCACAAACTGACACATGTAACGAGGCACTATCAGTCCAGTGAAGCTTTCGTGCTTTATTTATATTCAAGCTGACATTATTTTTCAATAAAAAACGCAATAACGATTATTTTACGTTACCTTTACATGTGAGGCTCGGTGACTCTAAGTCATGACAGTGCCTTGCCCCCAATAAAAGAATAAAATAAGAGCAGAATAAAGTAGTGGAGCTCCTTCCTCACCTCATATTTCTGAGTCCGCTGGTCCTGTTTACGTCTGAAATGGGGGTAGACGGTGTGGGCTTGCCACCTCCAGATCCTTCTCTTTCTCTGCTCTTTCCTCACAGGGTAAAACTTTATTTCTCGAGCAGCTTCTGTCGCTTTCTTCTCCTCCTGGATTTCTCCACCCCTGTGGGTACAATAGCCCATCGCATCATACTGTCCACTGCCTTGACATCTTAAACCTCTGGGAAGGGGAACACCCATGTTGCTCTGATGTATCAGTTCATACACAATAAGTGGAACAGACCCAGAGGCCCTGGCTTGTCCTCTCTATTGCAGACAAAAGATGGCAAAATTATTTCTATTCACCTGTTCAGCACAGGTGAAAGAGATCGGAAGCCTTGTGACATCTTAGAGGTTTGATTGTGTTGCTCAGAAAAAATCCATTTAAATTTTTTCTTATTTACATATTTTTGAATTCTGGATCCTGGAATTCTTACATCAAAACAAGGAAAAGATGAGGAAAAGACAGCTGAGCTGGTCCCCGAATCAGAGTTTGCAAACCTGGATTTTTTTTGCTGTTACGCTCTTCTTCATCTACATCTTCCTTTCTGGACCTTTTCGTGGATCCACCAGGCAGCGGTTCTTCTTCTGTTACCTCCTGATTGATGTCCTCATCAGCAATATTACCAACATGAGGACCGCCCTCGCTATCAGTGTCACAAGCAGAGATGAAGTCAGAGTCATCATCAGGAAACTCCTCGCTCCATCTGACTCTTTTGTTTGGTTCTACATCTTCATCATCCATCTCTCTAGACCTCCTGGATACAGCTGGCTGAGGATCCTCTTCTGGGATGTACTGGTGAACATCCACACAGTCTTCAAATGCCTCATCAGAATCATCACTTTCAGTGCCAACAACAACAACAGCATTATGATCATTGTTGTCAACATTGGCATTATTGTCTCTCACATTAATATTGTGAATGTTTACATTGTTCTCAATGACATTGTCAAAGTCAGTGTCAAAGTCCTCATCATATCGTGCCTCCATTTCATCTAATAGCTCATTCAGCCTCCAAAAAATGATATCATAGAGCAGCGGTCCTCAACCCCCGGGCCTTGGACCGGTACCGGTCCGTGAGTCGTTTGGTACT